CTCTCTCTCTCTGTCTCTCTCTCCCGCTCTTTCACTTTCACAATTTGTATATATATATATATATATATATATATATATATATATATATATATATATATATAAACTAATTTGTTTACACACACACACACACACACACACACACACACACACACACACACACACACACACACACACACACACACACACACACACACACACACACACACACCACACACACAAACACACAACACACACACACACACACACACACACACACACACACACACACACACACACACACACACACACACACACACACACACACACACACGCACACACATACACACATATATATATATATATATATATATATATATATATACACACATACACATATATATATGTGTATATATATGTATATATATGTATATATATGTATATATATGTATATATATGTATATATATGTATATATATGTATATATACATATATATATGTATACATTCCCCGTCGCGGCAGTTGTAAAAATGCCTGCGCTCTGACTGCTACCACGAGCCCGAGAAAACGACATATCGGCTTGAGAAGTCAAAACACAGGTGTCGTAGGGGAAGTCACCGCCGTGGCACAAGTGTTAAAGCGCCGAATCGCGGTTGATTAGGAATAGCATTGAAACAGGCAAGGGTGACACCGCCATATAACCTCTCAATACTGAATTGAGAGGCCTATGTCCTACAGTGGAATGAATGGCTGTTGAAAAAAATATATATATATACACATTTATTTATTTATTTATATATGTGTGTATGTATGTATGTATGTGTGTGTGTGTGTGTGTGTGTGTGTGTGTGTGTGTGTGTGTGTGTGTGTGTGTGTGTGTGTGTGTGTCTGTGTGTGTGTGTATATACATATATATCACCATCATCATCATCGTCAGCCTGAATCTATCAACTGCAGGACTTAGACCTCTCCCAATCTTTTCCAGCTTTGTTTGTCTTGCGTTTTTTGTTTCCAGTTTTGGCCTCCAAATTTCGTTATTTCTTCACGCTATCTTGTCACTGGTCTGGCCCTTGGCCTCTTTACGCTATCTATAGCCCAGTCTGTTACTTTCTTTGTCCATCTGTTGTCCTGTCTCCGATATAAATGACCTGCCCATTGCCATTTTTTTTTTTGATGCTCCCAAGTATATCTTCCACTCTTGTCTTTTCCCTGATCCCCGTCACCCTCATCCGATCTCTTAGGCTAATTCCCAGCATCAACCTCTCCATCCCTCTCTGGGCACTTATTAGCTTCCTCTCCAGTGATTTGGTTGTGGTCCATGTTTCTGATCCATAGGTCATAACTGGGAGGGCGCATTGGTTAAAGTCTTTTCTTTTTAAACATAATGACAAGGAGCCTCTTAGTTTGACTGATTAATTTTCTCCTCGCTAAAGGTATTTGTCTGTACGAGTTGCCCTAGATTATATACTTGTCCACTACCTCTTGCGCTTTGCCTTGTACATGTATCTGTTCTAATTGAACTCTACTGTTGAACAGGATTTTAGTCTTTTTCTTGTTCATCCTAAGTCCGACTTTCAGACTTCCTCTATTCAGATCGTTTATTAGTTGCTGATTGAAAGCACCCCCCCCCCCCCACATTTGTGCTGGAGTTTGGTGGTGACTCATGATATCCTTCCCTCTCCCTCCTTTATTTCCTCCTCCTGTCTCCTCTCATCTCTCTCTATTCCTCCTCCTCCTCCTCATCATCATCCCCGTCCTGTACCGCCACCCCCCACGCTCCATTTCACTCACGCACACTTAAAAAAAAACGATAAAGACAAACTGGAAAGGGTTCAGAGAGCAGCCACGAGATGGGCAACTACTCCAGGAGATATTAACCACGAAGATAAGGTACAGAAAATAGGACGAACCACATTGGATGAAAGAAGGAAAAGACACGACATGATTAGCTTGTTCAACTATGTTACAGGAAGTGAAGTTAGATTAAGTTAACTTTGTAATATTGAAGACAAGAAGGGCGAGAGGATACAGTAAAAAATTGAAAGGAAAAAGAGGCGATAAAAAGGTAAAAAAAAAAAAAAAACTAATGAAACCTAGAACAATCTCCTAAATATCCTGGTGTTTGCCAAAAATATGCGTCAATTTAAAAAGCTTTACGATAATTCATGTATAACAGACGGAACCCTCTGAGCTTAGTTTTGCTCTCATATGGAAACAATTAGGTAAAAACAAACACACGCATAAGCAGCGAATCAAGATGCAGCGGACCAGAGGCAGATGTTGCACGCTGCACAGTCTTTGCAACATTGCGTCACGGCCGAGATTCATTGGCTACCTCAAGGGATAAACCTCTTCTTTACGGCTCGCAGAAAATACCGTCTGTATCTGTTTTGTTTCGCTTTTCTCTTTGTATATATTTGTTTAAAATGGTGATTGTCATCTCTATCTGTCTGTCTGTTTGTCTATATATTCTCTCTCTCTCTCTCTCTCTCTCTCTCTCTCTCTCTCTCTCTCTCTCTCTCTCTCTCTCTCTCTCTCTCTCTCTCTCTCTCTCTCTCTCTCTCTCTCTCTCTGTCTCCCCCCCCCTCTGTCTCTCTCTCTCTCTCTCTCTCTCTGTCTCTCTCTCTCTCTCTCTCTCTCTCTCTCTCTCTCTCTCTCTCTCTCTCTCTCTCTCTCTCTCTCTCTCTCTCTCTCTCTCTCTCTCTCTCTCTCTCTCTTCTGTTTCTCCATTGCAACCTTTCACCTTGCAGCATTTGCCAGATGGTGAAACAGTCAGACACTAAAGAACATGATCATTGATTCCAGACATTGCAATATTATCTTTCGAGTTTCAGTGTCTTCTCTCTGTCCTCTCTCTTTCCACCTTTCTTTCTCCTTTTTCTTCGCCCTCATCGTTTGTCTTCTCTTTCCTTTCTTTCTTTACGCGCTTATTTTCGAATCTTCCTTTCCTTTTTTTCTTTTTTTTTTCTTCACCCTCCTCCTCTTTCTCCTCTTTCTCTTCCCTCTTTATTTCTCCTATTTTTACTCACCCACTTTCTTTCACCCTTTTCTTTTCCCTTTCTCTTTGCCCTTTCTTTCTCCTCTTTCTTCTCCCTTTTTTCTTTTCCCTCTTCCTCTCCCCTCTTTCTTCCCCTTATTTTTTTACCCTCTTTCCTTTTGTATCCCATCCTCTCTTCTCTTTCCTCCTTCCTTCTCTCCTTCCTTCTTAGCCTCTGCCTCTTCCCCTGCCTCTGTGTCCCTCTTTCTCATCTTCTATGCTTTTCTCTTTTCTCTCCTCTCCCTTTCAGCTCCCCCCCCCCCCTTCCCTCTTCTTTAAATCCCCCTCCCCCCTTTAGCTTTCCTTCTACTCCGCTTGCTCATCCTTCCTTCGTCATTCCCTCCCCCTCCTCGGCCTTCCCTACCTCCTCTCTTCGCTTGCTTCCCTCTCCCTTCCCCTACCCCTTCTCCCTTCCCCCCCCCCCACCTTTCTCCCTTCTCCTACATCCTCTCTTCTTTCCTTACCTCCTTCTCCCTTTCCCCTACCTCCTTCTCCCTTATTCTTCTACCTTTCTCCCTTCACCTACATCCTTCCTCCCTTTCCCTACCTCCTTCTTCCTTTTCCTTGCCTCCTTCTCCCATTCTTCTACCACCTTTCTTCCCTCCCCCCCTCCCCCCCGTTCCTCCCTCACCCATGTATCTCCAATGAAAAGATTAAATAACGTGACAGGCATCGTTACATGCTGACTCACTCCCCCGTCCTTTGAGTCAGTCATGAGTCGCCCTGGATTGCCCCCCTCCCCCCCCTCCCCCCTCTACTCTCCCACTCCTCCTCTCCTGCCTGGCCCTTGTCCGTCGGAAAGGTCTTGCTGCTGCCTTTCTCTCTGTCTGTGTCTCTGGCTTTCTCTATCTCTCTTTCTATCTCTCTGTCTCACTCTTTTGTTTTTGTTGCTTTATGTACGTGTTATTATTAGTTCTTTTTTGTGGTATTTGTTCTTAATATTTCTCTCCCCTTTACTTCACACACATACGCACACGCACACGCACACGCACACGCACATGCACATGCACATGCACATGTACACGCACACGCACACGCACACGCACACGCACACGCACGCGCGCGCGCGCGCGCACGCACACACACACACACACACACACACACACACACACACACACACACACACACACACACACACACACACACACACACACACACATACACACACACACACACACACACACACACACACACACACACACACACACACACACACACACACACACACACACACATATATATATATATATATATATATATATATATATATATATATATATATATACATATGTGTATGTACATATATACATACATACATATACATATACATATATATATATATAAATATATATATATATATATATATATATATATATATATATATATATATATATATATATACATATGTGTATGTACATATATACATACATACATATACATATACATATATATATATATATAAATATATATATATATATATATATATATATATATATATATATATATATATATATATATACATATTCATATTCGTACACATTCATACATACATACATACTTACATACATACATACATAAATACATACATACATACATACATATATACATAAGTAAAGGCAGACAGACATACACGGGGATACGCACCCATACACATACACACGCTATATTCACTCACCCGAGTAAATTCGCACGATATAAGGAATTTTACTCTACAAAATTCATTAGATATCTTCTAACATAGACGATATTTGCAATTTTAAGAAGTAATCAGTAAACATTTTCATGAATTGCCTATATTTACAAAAAAAGAGTTATGCTCTCGTATCCCCACACTGCAGTGACGTCACAGACTGAGGACGTCAACAAACTCGAACTCGTCGCGTCCGAAAGAGTGACCGACGCCCGCGGGAAAGTCTTCGCTTTTGTCAGGTACGGCGAAACATTGCATCCATTTGAGGATATATATGGAGGGCATTGGGTTCAGTTAT